GAGTATGGGTCACCATACTTGGCCACATGTCACGTCACTTTTCACTTTTTCACTTTTCACTTTTCAATATTACAGCGAGAATAAAAGTTACTCCTTCTTTCTTTGTGTGAACATTTGGGCGGTGTTATGCAAATCTTCCCACATCGTGATGTAGATATGTGGGGGCGTGTTAGAACGAGCCATTTTAGGTAGGTGTGGCTGACTCTTAACTTTTATAAAGAATATCTCTTTGGATTTGAGACTTTAGTCTTTGCAACTTTACAGATCATCTTTATGCACCAAGAGCTTGTAACACTCCAAAGAGAAAGGAAAAATTTAAATTGCATCATATGACCCCTTTAAGTAGTTGCTCAGTGTCACTTGAGCAACTATGTTTCTGTTGCGTGAAGAAAGCTTTGTCACCTGTACTATTAATGTTTTTTTCTGTTTATTTATCAGAGTTGAAATGTTATTGTGCTATGTGTGTGTTGTGGAGGGTTAAATTAATTTATGATATCCAGTCAGCTCAAAATGATACAGGAAGCACTTTAACTGGAAAAACTGTTTAAATTGAAGCCTTTTCTACTGCTTATCAGTACGTTTTATTTCATTGCAAGGTGACATACAATGTACTCCTAAAAATGAACAACTGTACAGAATGCTTTTGCCGGCTCTGTGACACTTGCATGTTATTTCTCCTGCTCTTTTTCTAGCAAAAATTCACTCGTCACTAAATGAAAACCTAAAGTGAAGACCTGATTATTTCAGGAGCCTTATCACAAGTTCATTGTTTTTTAATGTTGGTGCTACTTCTGCTATATTTTCACACTTAAAACAATAATTTGGTATTCCTTTTGAACCATTGTCCTCTTTTATGCTAAGAAATAAGTCACCTGGCAGTTCTCTCCCAAGTGGTTCCACTGCTGCCAGCATTAAGTCTGAGTATGATTCAGTGGGCTATATAACACTTTTAATTGTCAGGAAATTACTTGTCTTTAAAAGTTTTGGTTCAATATACTTACCTGTTGATCAAAAATAGCCTTAAACCTATACACTTAAAAAAAAAAAAATTATTTAGTAACTTTCAGGAGGGTTAGTTTTATTTAGTAACTTTCAGGAAGGTGTACTCATTTTTGCATCACAATATTTTATCACTTTGATAAGAAAATCTTATTTTGCTGAATAATTTTGGCATTCTTCTTTGGTAATTGATCAAGCAGGCTTGTTGGAACATTACATCTCCAAAGAACCCTAACATGTCTTCTAAGTAAAGAGTAATTGCAGATTTTTTTTTAAGTTTTAGAGGGGGTGTACTCATTTATGCTGTGCACTGTATGTTGTTCTGTTTTTTTTCAACTGTGAATATATTGTCTTTTGAAAATTGTTGCATAGCTGTTTTGAAACTATTTTTCTCACCAGAGCAACAAAGAGGCCTGTGTGTTTATATAATGTGAACACTAAAAGAATCATATAGTCTTAATAGTTAAAATAATACATAAGGATACAAAGAGTCATTTGATTATGGTGGATTTCATTTACCTAGTTTGTGTGAGAGAAAAATGAAAGAGAGAAAAGTAATTTTTAAAATGTTAAAAGGAAATGTTTCATGGAGTTCGAAAGGTGAAGTTTTACACTATCTCTGTTACGATGAATAATGTTGTTATGATTAAAATATCATCTACCACACTTGTGAAATGTTTTGATCGTTCAATGCACTATACTGTTTATTTTTAGCTTCATAGGTGATTATTTGTCTTTTGAGGTACAGAACTAGAATCTAAATAATTTGTTAAAGCAATAAATACCAAACAAGTGTAGATTTGGTATAATGCTGTAATCCATTTTCTTAAATGTGTCTCATGTACATTCCAATCGAAAACATGATCTGGCAAATAATTGTTTTTATAAAGAAGGGACTTCATCTAAGATGTTATTTAATCTGTTATGTGTGCTTAATGTCAAAATGTGTTTTCCCTTTCAAAAACTGACAAGTTCATTTTACTGTTTTCATTACGATCTCACATACTATAGTAGTGCTTTTTTCATTTGATAGTCATTTCAGATATAATGTTGCTTTCACAAAGTTGAAAAAAGTGACCTTAGCAAGCGAACATAGCAAGTACGAAAGAAAAAGAGCTGTTCAACAATAGATTTTTGTGATTATTAATATATTACTGTAGAATGTCAATGATGTGGGCATATGTCTTTGTTTTAGCTTTGTAAATGTTTAGAGTACAGGCCCAAACCTAATAAAATAATGGAACTGATTTTACATTAGACCTTTTGTTTTTTATTTATTAAAATCATAATTTTACACACATAAATCAAATTAATAATGACATTTTGTGCTTGTATATCTTACTGATGTGCTATAATGGTTTGTCATATTGACAAACTGTTAGGCGAGTATATATTTCAGATGGTAATGCCATTACAATATTTTTTCAAGTAATTATCAAATTTTTAAAACTACCAGATACATAAGTTACTGGTGGATATATTATATTTCCTGAGTAAATACTCTCCACATATTCTCTATCTACTACACTATTTAAGATATATACTATCTATACTATGATGCCATATTTTACAACTCAGTATAACCCGAAGAAGGACAAACTGACAAGAAAACACCATTACGTTGAATGTGCTAGATATGAAGTGAAAAACATTACAATCCATATGCTGTAGTGGCAGTGAGAAGTGCCATGATGAAGGCCCCATCACTCTGTTAATGCACCTCTGCTGCCATCTCATGACCATTACATAGTGGTAGCAAAAACATATATTATAAATATTATAAAACAAACTTCTCTTTTTCACCGGCACACTTCCACAACATTAATTATTGCGATGACTGAGACATATGCCTCATTTATGGATGTAATAAAAAACAAAAATCAGGATAGTTAGAAGGATAGTTCACCCAAAAATTAAAATTCTGTCATCATTTAATCACCCTCAAATTGTTTCAAACCTATATGAGTTTCTTTCTTCTGTTGAGCACAAAAGAAGGTATTCTGAAGAATGCTTGCAACCAAACAGTTGACAGTAGCTATTGACTTCCATAGTATGGAAAAATACTATGGAAGTCAATGGCTACCGTCAACTGTTTGGTTACCAACATTCTTCAAAATATCTTTTTTGGAAATGTATGACTCAAAACTAACTGACCTCCCACACATTTTTCTTTTCCATAAGGAGTGGAAAAGATTTGGTAATTCTCAAATACATAACCTAAACAAACAGTTTACACAAACTGAATCTCAAATATTATAGTCACTTTTCATGATTTTCATACAGGCATACCTTTTGTTTAATTTTAGCGTTTAGTTTTATACCAGTAAGACTGACTCAAGTAACAATCAAGTAAGTAACAAAATACAACTAACAATCAAAAAAACAAAAACAAAAAACACTTGTTCACCGCTTTGCTGATCCACTAAAAAGAACTGACTCAAAAGAACAATTCACTCTCAAATCATACATCACCATAAATTTCAAAAAGTTAAAGTTTTAATTTAAATAAGAACATTGTCTAGTTGGTGAAATAGTTAGAAGCTCAACATAACTTGACAAATATATATTATGTACCTTGTAAAATTGTACCTTGATTACCATATAAATTTGATTAATTTTAATAGTTTTTTCCCCCAGGTTTTCCTTGACCGTATGAATCCTGAGAGAAATGATCACGTTCATGAAACATCCAGCTCAATACACATTATGATGACACAATGCTGCCTAAATAAATACTCCTCAATAATAGACTTGTTTTCGCAGTCAGCCCAGTGATCTGTGTGAAGCATCTCTCTCAGGCCTGGTCAAAAACTGAGGGGGTTGAGTCAGTCACAGCTGTCTCCTCCTTTCCCCGTGCCATTGGTCAGTTTCACATAAAGAAATCTCGTGACGATTGTGTACAATCAGAGAGCATGAGAGGGCGAGATACAGTCAATGGCACTTTTACTCAGGCTCAGAGGAAACGGTGCCTCTCTGACTGTGATGTTTACGCTCAGTTCAAGCGATGGGAACTTTAAGCACAAGCAGCCATCAGTCTACGTCTCTGCCAACACATCAGTTTAACGTCAAAATGAAGATAAACTCTACACACTAATTAGAACCGACTGTTTTTGGACTGCAGAGGCGAGTTTTTTGGAGCGCGGAGGCCGTGTGAGTCTCAGCGGCAGCAGAATGAACGTGGGCACCCAAACTAATCGGTTTAGCACTTGAAGTCCAGGCAGGGTTGGCAAATAGTCCTGCTCTTTTGCATGGAAACCAGTAGATATTTTTGTCCTGTTAAATGCTCAGCCTTTAAGATAACTCTCTAGCAATAGTAAACTAAAATTACCTTGGTTTTTTATTGTTAGATGCATGCACGGTAATTTGCTACTTCGGTTTAAGTGAGCTTGGCTTGGGAAAAGCGCTTTAAAATGTTGCAAAATGAATAAACATTTAATCAATATCATTCAGAAATATATTATAATGTTAAAAATAAATATTGTTTTTAAGTTTTAGCCTACGCCTTTTTTTCCTCGCATGTTTTCCCTCGGAGTTCCTCCCCTTGCGGCGCTGGGCGGAGTTTCATACCGAACCAGACGCTCCTTTTGTCGGATTCGTTTCGACCTGACTCCCCGGGGTTTACGGCTAAAAAACAGACACTTAAATACAATAAAACCAATTAACACGAACACGTCGCTAGTTAATAAGCACATCCGTGACGGAATATTGAAAAAAGGTAAGCGATTTGATGATTTTTGAGCCCGTTTAGAGCGTTTTTCAATTTGCTCGTCCCCGAGTCTTTGTAACATTCATGGCGGCTCTGCAGTGAGGGCTCTGGGGCGAGGGAAGGCACAAGCGGCCGCTCATACCTGTGTTTAGGATTCTGATTCACCAAAACGTGGCATTATTATACTAAAACTGAATATATGACAAAAATTTAACATCTAACGATTTATATTCATGACTGAATTGATTTTTAGTGAAATAATGCATTTTATAATATTGTCACAATCCCTGCAAAAAATCTAAATGTGCATGCATCTACACTTGAATTGTAGCAACGAGGTATTTGATACGTATTGATACATCACTTAAATTTAATCGGCGTAAGCGATATTCCTCGTACTTTCGCCAGTAACGTTAGCTTGCTCGCTAGCTGAGGCATTCTTGCCAGCGGAAGCTGCGTGGTGACTCCTGCCGGAATAAAGATGCCATTACCGGGGTTGGAAACAGACTAACGGTCGGTGCGCTACAAGCAACCTATTTTACACTAATTTATTTAATCAGTCAGAGTGGGCGTCACACGAATTACTAAAGTAAATATAAGAACACTTGTTACTGACATTAGTTTTAATAAAGCACAATGCATTTTTGGACAATTTACTTGATGCAATACTCTTGTTATTAATGAAATACCTCTTGAACTTAAAACGGCCAATAATGGTTTATTGTTAACAGAAAGACTCGAATATTGCAGGGGGAAAAAACAGATTTTTCGTGTTTATAACTCTTTTGGCTCAGTTGACCTTGCGCGCGGGCGGGGATGACACTGTGCGGGCAAGCAGCGACGCCACAGCTCGAGAAGTACGCGGGCACGTGCGGGATGCATCAGACACTTCACGAGTCTTTGCTCAACATAATACCGAATCCCGGACTTAAAATATGTTCGTATTTATTACATGTGAAATATGCACAAATTACATGATTTGTAATTTGTTTTGTCAGTTATACAAAACCAGTTAAATTCTTAAATATGTGTTCAAGCAAACCGTATGTGTTGTAGTGTCATACGGATCAAAAAATAAAATGTCTGTAATATCTTTATGCATATAATGAAGTACTCGCCTATGAATGTGCCGTATTGGCAGCATGTAAATAGTAAGCGCTCGTGGAGATCAGGAGGAGAAACCGAGGCTTCCGGGGGCACTGATGCACTTTAGCGAGGGTAGTGCTCGTCCTCACATCTCGCTGCTCGTGGTTACATAATCCCAAAGGAAAGTCTTTCCTGCTATTCCTTGCCAAGATGACCCCCGACTCCATGTATGTGCGTTTCTCTCGCATCCTCAAATCGTGGCTTGAATCGGACAGGAAGCCCGGATAGTTGTCGGTCCTTTCCTGAATGCTTTGCTTAGCCGATCCCTGTAGGCGAACCTAGATGAAATTCGCGGTTTGATCGTGGATAGGCGTTGGAAATGTGCGGCTAGGGCATCATTGTCGTGGTTTCTCACCGTTCGCCGTCGCTGGTGAACTGGTATGGCCACGGTGTGATGACGAGTCCGTGTCGAGGTGGTCCAGAGGCGGAGCATGAGCACATGTTCCTCTGGGAGGCAGTGATGACATCCAGAACATTTCTTACGACCGTTAACAAAATTGAATCACTCGTTTATTGAGGAGCTTTATGTCGTAAATAAAACAGATGTTGACCAATCAGAATAAAGGACTGGAACTAACCGTTTTATAATAGTAGGCCTATATCCTCCTGACCACCAGCTATGGAGTTTTGTCCTCTGTAGAGGACATTATGTTTTAGTGATTTCTCTGAGACGTTACATGTCACAGTTTTAAGTCTGGATGTCCTGTACAGAGCACATTCAGGGCTTTTCAGAGATACCAATTGATTGGATGTTTCACCATGACCACTCCCTCTCCTTGGTCTTTAAAAATGGCTGACATTAATTTAGTGATCAAGTGTAACACCCTTATGGAAATATGATAATATTTTGTAATTATCATTTAAATCTGACTAATTTTCAAATTGTTTGTAATAAATCAACATCTCAGGAAATTTTATGGGGTTTCAAATCAAAATATGACCTTCTTTTATGAAACAGGACGTCGATTTCATACATGTCCAGAGGACACCAGGACTTAAAGCATGTTTATTACACATTTTGGGAGACAACAAATGAATAGAGAAAAAATTATGTATCAATATTCCTATTAAATATGAGATATTATTATGAAAATCTTGCTAATTATTACTCCCATTATTGCACTTATTTGTTCATTCTATGTTGCCCCAAAAACTCATTAATATAGAAATTAGATACAGTTTATAGATACATTGTATATAATGGAAAAACTTGTTTATGGCCATTTTACACACATTTTGCATAAAGAAAAATGGTTTTTAAAAATATCTTATGGAAAAACTTGTTTATGGCCATTTTACACACATTTTGCATAAAGAAAAATGTTTTTTAAAAATATCTTTCATAACATAGTTGAGAATCGTCTTTATATAAAGTTTGGTATAAAAAATGAAAATTGATTTGTGATTAAAACAAAAATCCCACTGTTTTTGCCTTTTCATGTCTATTCATGTCTTTTTATTTCTTAAAAAAACAGGACTTTTACAGGACTCTAAACAGGACTCTACAGAGGACATGGCATAACATATGAATAAAATATCATTTTTCAAAAATTGTATTTTTCAATTTTTTTCTTATGCTCTAAACAATGTAATGACATGACAAAATACTAAATTCACAAAACTGTTTTTTCCTGTTAGTCAGGAGGATATAAATTATACTAAAGTAACTGTCTGTTTACCTTTTTACTGACTTTACAGGTTTAAAAGAGATGAACAAATTCTGCTTATTTCCATAATTATGGCAATATTTATTTATTTATTCCTTAAAACTAGCATCTGTTTTTAATGTTGTGTTACTTTTTATGTTTTCTGTACTTTTTAAAATTTCCATTAAAGGTACCATAGAATGGAAAACTGTATTTACCTTGGCATAGTTGAATAATAACAGTTCTGTACATGGAAATGACATACCGTGAGCCTCAAACACCATTGTTTCCTCCTTCTTATGTAAATCTCGTGCATGCAAAAGACCACTGAAAAATAGGCGAATCAGAACATAACATCGACACGTTAAGTTACAGTCGGGATCACTAATAGTTACGCCCCCAACATTTGCATATACCCGCCCATGTTCGAGGCCAGCCGCCAGCCGGACCTGCACAGCCAAATCATCAGAAGTTCTGCAGGTATTGTGAAGAAACAAGCCAGGACAACAGCGAAAATAGCAGATCATGGAAATTCAGTATTCTGTACTGCGTGTAATTCAGCGTGTCTGTATTCAGAAAGGCACGGAAAACAAATAACGCGCGTTCCAATAAAATAACGAGAGCCTCTAAAGGGACATGGTTAGCTGCTTGCTAGCAGTAGCCTGTTACATTACAGTACATAAGATTTCACTTACCACATAAACAGAGTAAGGAGAGATGGCTGAGGATGATGGCGAATGATTTACAGATCCTGAGCACCACTGACAAGCATCTGATCTTGTAAAATGTGTGGTAAGTAGGCTACACCGATCACGTGCGATCGCAAATCTTGAAAGTGAAAGTAAAAAGCGATCGTGCATTCGAAAGCAGTTTCAATGCCCCGCATATTAATA